CTGCAGGGCTGAGCTGCCACTGTGAGCTCTGCGGAGAGGTCCCCACGCAGAGCAGCAGCAAGCTGACCTCGGAGCAGCACAAAGCACCCAGAGGTTGTCGCAGTGACCATGGGCCATTCAGAAGCCTACTTAGACTATGAAAACACTAGTGCCCTACCTCAAAAGCATAACTTCCCTCTTTTCTTCAAAATGATAAATATATCAATGTCCCCTTTCCAGAGCAGGTCAGTAAGATTTGAAAGAGGAAAGACCTCATTGCTAAGCTTGAAATCAAAGCACTATATAGCCTTGCCCCAGTCTACTTTCCCAGACCGGTCATCTTTCCTTGTCTTTCATTCATTGCACATCTAAGGGAAACCACTCCCAATTCCCAGAACCACCCGTGCCTTCTTCTTGCCTCCATGCCTTATTTTGACGGGTAAATCCTTCCCACATCAACTTTACCTTTCCCTCCTCTCTACTTCCTGTCCACCTTTGTTTTGGAACTTGCCCATGTTTCAAATAGAACTGCATTTCAAATAGAACCACATTTCAAACAGAACTGCCCCCAGCGGTCCCCAGTCAGGCAACATGCATTTGCTCAGCTCCTACTACGAGCCAACCTGTTGAGCGGCTGGGAGGCAGCCTGGTGAACTAAACAGAAAAAGTTACATGCCATCCCTTCTCTCTCAAAGCATCCTTCCTCTACTAGAAATGCCAGCTCCTCCTCTGAGTTTCTGCTAAGAGATTTCTACCTTGATTCAGGATTACTTACATACGTGTCTCATCTCCTCCTTAAAGTATAAGCTCTCTGAGGGCAGCTTTAGGATTGGCTTCTCTTGGAAAATCTAATTTAGTGTTTTATACATAACCACCTACAATATGGTCACAGGAGGCAACATGGGAGGGCAGGACGTGTTTGGTCTCTGGGATAGGAAAACCAACTTAAAGTCATCTTTAATCACACCACAAAAGCCTTGGTACACACGTCTGCAAAATACGATGCCACCATTTACTTTTCTCGGGGGAAATAAGCATCAAATAAAGTAACGTGGGAAGACCCTTTTTAAATTATCAAATACTTTTTATAATTATTCATCTGGTGCTAATGGAATCTCAGTCCCTTGTAATCTTTTAGAGGAAGCATCATATAAACCCATCATGTTATTTCAGCAATCGTGACTGCTTTCCAATGTCTCTACAAATAACTCATGCCAAGGGACAGAATTATTTTATTTGAAATACTCTAGTTGTGACAACATGAATTCCTATGCTCTTCTTATTAGAGGAACTCGAGATTCTATAAACAATTTAAAAATACCAGAAGGTCATCTTCATTATATTCCTATGGAATGGAAAGAATCTATTAAAGCAACAATAGTTAACCTGCTGGCCCACCCAACTGGGGGCACATTTCCATTTCTGAAAAAGGCAAAAGCAGGAAGAGCAAAGAGGCAAAGCTCAAAATGCCACCAAAAAAGTTATTATAATGAAAATATGCTTATATTATAGGAAATGCCACTTAATGTAAATATCCTATTACATCAGACCAAATAAATGAGTTTCTTCTAAAGTCCCAGAGCACTTCCCCTGGTATCATCCTCATTCGGGCCTCACTTTTAAAGTCACATTAAATGCAAGTTCTAGTTAAGATTTCCCCAGCTGACTACCCAAGAGCAGACAGTGTGTGCGTAACAGGAACGAAAAATGCACCTGCCTCTCCCATCTGCCGAGCCCAGACGCGCCATCACCCCAGACCAGAGTGACCACCACTGAAAAAGCGTGACAGAAGGAAGAGACTAACATCACCCCTGCACCTGCTACAGAACCCCCCTCTGCGTACCTACTGTTACCTGCACTGCACAGACATGTGACCTGGGCCCCAGCAGACAGAGAGCCAGCCAGCATGTGCCCGATGGCTGTGATACAGCCAGGATCTGAACCCAGGGCTGTTGGCCTCTCAGTTATTTATTTTCTATTGTCCCCTCAAGCCTTCCTACAAACTCAACCCTCCACAAGGTCCTGCACCTTGTCCCTCCCACACAACAGTCACACCTCGGGGAGTCAGGGAAACAGGGGACATAAGGAGATCTAAGTGCCAGTCCTCGCTAACATGCTGTACACCGAGGCAAACACACAGAAGCCACTGTGCCTGAGTTTCCTCATCGAAAAAAGTGGTGATCAGAACACCTGTTCCACTTTAAAACAAAAACAAAAACCTGTAAATCACCGTGTAAATGTTTGAAATTATGTCTGCTCTTCTGATGATCAAAATGGATTATTTCACTAGGGCGCCTTGACTAGGAAGTCCATATGGTCTTCCCTGCATTATTTTGACTCCTTAGAGCAGGGGTCAGCAAACGACGGCACACAAATCATATCCGGCCAATGGACCGTTTCCGCAGCACAGCCGCATCCGTGCTCGCGTGTGCTGTCTGCGGCTGCTGCCGCACCCAGGGCAGAGCTGAGTGGCTGGGATACAGACTGTATGGCCTGAAAGGTCTGAAATATTTACCATCTGGCCCTTTATAGAAAAATCTTTCCAGCCCCCATCTTAAGTAACCAAAGATAGTAGCTAACAAGTAATCAGAGGCCACAGAGAATAACTAACTACAGTTATGATAAAATTTGGATTTCCCCCAACTGAACTATTTTCCATGTACATATCTTATTTGTCAAAAGTTTAACATAATATAAACAAGTATATGGAGGGAAAAGCAATAAATTAGAAAGTGGCTTTTTCTAAGTAATTAATAAAGTTATATTAAAAACCACTGAAGTCCACAAAGATATCTTGTATGTCTGGAAAATGAATTTCTAAAATTTTCTGGTTTTCGGAAGAATCATAATCTAGAAATCTTACAAAGTTAGCATTCTTTAAAAAAGTAAAACTTGCCCCTCAAGTTATCCAGTGTTTGAATTAAAATGTAAAGAGACGAGAGAAATAGCTCAGGATATAAATGAAATAGTTCACACGATTTCCAATGTGAAACTGTTCACTATTATTCTTTCTCTCTTTCCCTTTCTCTCACTCTCTTTCATTAAAATACACTGCCAATCCTTTTATGGCAGAGTTGAGCTCAGGCTTTGAAGTATTTTTGTAAATAATTTTTTCTGCATTTTATATTCTGAATAGAGTACATGTATTCTGTTCCTCAACATTTGCTTAAATGCCAGAAAGGAAAGTGTACAGCGTGTTTTAACAAGCACACTTCCTCTGTTTCTCAAAGTCTTTAAATATTTAGTTTCAAAATGAATACACAGTAAGCCAAAAAATTACCACCCATCCGATTACTTTGTCATTCCTCCTGTAAGGATTTATGAAAAAATGCAAGGAGGTGGGGAGCAGACATTGCTGGTGACGGAGGAGGGAAAGCAATGAGAGAAAGGAAAACAATCAAGAAAAGTCAAAGAGAAAAAAGCCATTAAGCCCATAATAACCTGCTTGGAATTGTCTTCTCCCCTCCCCTCCTTGTCTGTAACCTTCCGAAAAAGTCTGAAAATATTACTTATTACCCCCCCCCAAAAAAATCATGAGATTTTAGAGATGGACTGAATTTTAGAGGTCAGTCAATGTAAGCCACTTGTTTTATGGATGAGGAGAACTGAGGTTCGGAAAGAGGGACCGTCACGCCCTGTGGATGTGCTGCTAGTTAGGGGCACCACAAGGACCGGAATCCAGCTTCCTGATCATCAGTTCAACACACTTCCCATTCGACTCGGCTCTCTGCCCTGCTGAGCGTAATGTGCCATTTGGCACCTAACCGCTAAATTCCTCTAGAAATATGCCCCAAGTACCCCGATCGTGGCCAGGAAATTCACAATACCCTTTTAAACAGTATCTATGGGCACAAGTTTTTTCCAAGGACAGGCGAACAAGAATACACTAGTCAGACCTCATACGGATTAGGAGTCACAATAAAGGAGAATCATCAAAGAGCAAACAAGGACCTGAAGCTGCCTCCTTGTGTTTTTGTCTTGATGGAAATCGGTTTGAAATAGACACCCTCCCTTCTCCTACCCCCCAGACATGCACTCCCAAGACTAAACAGCAATATTCCATAAAAAGACCAGATCTAGCCAGTGTTATTATCTGTCTGACATTTGGGCTATTCTTGTGAGCAACTCATAAAGTAACGTGGGTGTCTGTGATTATTTGGGTACACATGGCAAACCATAATTGGTCAAAAAATAATAAAAGACATTTTTCTGTGACAAAAATACTGTATTGAATGACAACCTGGCAGTGTGACAGCATTCTGTGGACCGCAATACTTTCTCCACTTACAAAAAAGAAACAAAAAAAGTTTTCTAAGTAAAAAGCCTTTTTTTTGTAATCGGTAATGACGATAGTTCACATTTAAATTATTTATGAAATATTAAAAGGTTTCTAGTGTTGACAGCAATCCACGAGCCTATATCCCCCTAAATCCATGTCATATATCAACTTATAGTTCAGTCTTCTGAGGCAGAGCAGAAACGTAGCTAAAGATGCAAGTCTGTATCCCTTTCGACAAGCAAACTACAGGACTTGGACAATTTTAAAAATTTCTTTAGAACACAGCTATGTGTGAAGTACAAATTTAAATTTAATCACCACCTTCCACATTTTACAGCGTGAGTCAAAGCTAACATAAATTCTATGTATCACTGAGAAGACAAGATTTGACGCTGATCGGCGCAAGTTGTGGTTTCTTTATTACTAATGTGATTCAGTCCTCACCTAAAGCTACTCCCTCCCGTGCAGCTGACACCTCCCCATCACCACGGCGTCGATGATAAGCCAGAAGGGGTAACATCCTAGTTGCCATTTCTCCAAGAAGCTCCAACCCGGCTAAAAGTTACTCTGAAAGCAATTTAAACCATCTCGTGACAAAAGCACATTTACACTCCTAGACAGACACCCATTCAAGCAGAGAGCAGTGTGTGACTGGGCAGGGGAGGGGGGTGGCTCGGTGCTGCGATCTCTCATAACACTATTTGGTAAGGACAGTGAGGGACCGTGGAGGAACTCAACTCACCCACTCGGAAGTTCGTGGCCGTCAGGGTGTCGGCAGCATGACCATTCTCACTAATGAGAGTGGTGGTGTTCCCCTTCTCACAGTTGTTCTGACAGCTGCCCTTGGTGCAGGTCACTTTACAGATACTCGGAGTAAAGACCACCTTGATGCGACCAGTGTGGTTACTCACTAGGAGCGGAGGCAGGGAGAAAAAGAACAACAAACACATCAGCTTAGTATCCATGAACTTGCCTTGGAAGGTTTCTCTTTAAAAAAAAAAAAGGAGGGGGGGTTAAAAAAAAAAAAAAGAAAGGAAAGGAGCGAGGAGAGGGGGAAAAGAGAGAGCCCACAACCCGACAGGTTTAAGGAAAGAGGGAAGCCTTTGGTGCTCGCTGCTCTGTATCCAGTGGTGTCTCTGAAACAGGAGTAGGAAGCTTAGCAAACAGAACTCTGGGATGCACTCCAAAACCACATTTGAAGTCGAGTCACTGGAGTGGGATTACTAACCACAATGCTGCACTTTATTCACGGGCAGACAAAGAGCAGCACCGAGGGCACGACAGATGAAAGAGCCAACCCTGTCAGGCAGATGTAATGCAAAGGGGTTGGCCATGCACCTAGTGGTGAATAAAGTCTTGTGTCCTCGCCTTGCATACTTTCCCTGTTTCTCCACTTATGAAGTCACTGTTGCAGCCCGACCCCTGGAAATGTTTTAGGCATGCGGCATGTCTGAAAACATCTGTCTCAAATCTCCTGGCACTCTCAGCTGAAGTGATCGAATCCTGTGACGCAGCTGCGGGAGCCCATTTCTTTTTCACAACTCGGGGGCATTATTTCTCCACATAAATGCGTGCAACATATATTTTGTTCTACTGTGAACAGGGTCCAGCTCAGGAAAAGTGAGACGACCGGGTCACAGGGCTAAACAGTTGCCTCTATTCAAATGCCATCCTGGAGTCCTCACTGCTGCTGCTGTCCAGAGGCCACCTAAGGCAGGTAATTCTTCACTCTCCTGGCCCTCTCTTAACCAAACGCTATAACCTGACTGTACAGCAGAGGCAGCACAAAACCACAAAATGAGCACCAATCTAAATGTCAGATTCTGACCCTGCCTGGGTGGCTCAGTTGGTTGGAGCATCATTCCATGCAGCAAAAGGTTGTGGGTTCAATTCTTGGTCAGGGCACATACCTAGGTTGCAGGTTCAATCCCTAGTCTGGGAGTATATGGGAGATAACTAATTTCTTTCTCTCTCTCTCTCTCTCTCTCTCTTTCTCTCTCTCTCTCTTTCTCTCTCCCCCCCTTCCCCTCTCTCTAAAAATCAATAAACATATCCTTGGGTGAGGATTAAAAATTTATAAAACAAAACTACCTGTCAAATTCTGGGTTTTAAGTTTGGCTCAACCATGGTGTGACCTTGGACATGTCACTTCATCTTTTCTCTAGAACGCGAGAGAACTGGAACTGATGTCTTCCAGCCAGTTCTAACTTCCAATGCTTCTATCAGAGGTCCACAAGCCATGGCCCCATGATAAAATCTGGCCCACTGCCTGCTTTTGTAAATAATGCTCAGCTGAAATTCACCCACTCCCATTCGTTTATGCATTGTCTATGGCTGCTTTTGTACTGTAACTGCAAAGCTGCACGGAGAATGTAGGACCTCACCCAGAACTGCTGTTCACAGTCAAGTCCCAGCATAAACTCTCTGGCAAAGTTGCAATAGCGACTTCTCTGTCTATGGCAGCCAGTCTTTCCTCTTTACAGGAGCCAGGCAGAGAGCAACAATGGTGGCAGCCGCTGAAGACAGACGGTCCATCTTTGAGGTTTAAGGGCCTGTTGCCACTGTGAGGGAGACTGGCTCTGAGTCACCCTGTCCTCCGCTATCCCCTGCCTGCCAGAGGCAATTCTCCCCCAATACCGCTTTGATTGGACTAAGATTATATTCTCAGAAAATCACCCAAGAGGCCCCTCTATAAGCCCTCAACAAAATAAACTGTGGTCAAAACCTGAGCTTGGAAACCAAGAACCTTCACCAAATACGCCATTAGAATTTCAAGGTTGGAACGGGGTCTCCAAGGTCCTAAGTCACAACCTTTATTTCAACATGTCTAGTGACAGGGGAGCTCATTCTCCACCAAGACAGTGCATTAGGTGAAGGGCAGTTCCTAGCAAGTGCTCTTCCTTCTTGAGCTAAAGTATGTCCTCACAGTTTGCTGCGCCCATGAGTCCTAATTCGGCTCCCCACAGCTCCCCATTTAATGCCTCGTCTGCAGGATGGCCCTTCCGGTGCTCAAAGACAACCACCACAGAAACAAAGAACGCTGAAGTCAGAAGGGACTTGAGGACATCAGCTTGGGTTGGCCCTCTCACTTAAGAGAAGAAAACGATTCTGGAGCACAGATGCCCTCACAGTTCTCTTCAGATGTTTTTCCGAGACCATTTCTCATTCATTCGCCAGAGGTCCCAACACAGGAGGAGATCAGGCCACAGCCTGAGGTGGGGAAATACCCTGGTGGCCGGCCAGGACTTCACACCTTTCTATCGAGGGCCAGAGCGTAAACACTTCAGGGTCCTAGGCCTAAAGGATTCTGATGCAACTACTCAACTGTGCTGTGGTAACAGGAAAGCAGCCTGTCAAAAACAATAAGTACACAGATGGGGGTAGCTATGTCCCAATATGCTTCATTTAAAGAAACAATTTTTGCCGACCACGGCTTTAAATGCTCATATGTATTCTAAGACTATATCTCGGAAATTTTAAAAACTACAACAGACTTCTGATTTCATGATCAGACAAAATTCACCTAGTTTTACTTTTTTTACAGTAGCACCAAAAAATAAATACATCAGTCCATACTCTAAGTTGTCAAACCGTGCTCACGAATATCTTGAGAATCCTTTGTGTAAGTGTGCGAAGCCCAAGGGAAAAAAAAAAAGAGACAACGCCGTCCTACTTCAAAAGAATATGAACTCATATTTTTTCTGGCTCTTGGTACAACAATGAAATTAGAAGCGGTGTGCCAACTATTTTGTCTTGTCTGGCACTGACGCGTGAGCACCTGCCCCGCAGATGCCCACATCGCCACCTAAATTGCGCTCGCTGCGGCAAACCCAGGCGTCCAAAGAAAGCAGGCACTTAATCGTTATCCCCATCGCCCCTCCCGGCTACAGTAGTCGCTTTATAGGCACTTCAGAATCTCCGAGCCTATTGTTTTTAAAAACTGATTATGTTTCTTTGCCAAAAAAAAGAATTGGCTTAGAATCATCTGGATTTTCAAAAAGGCACAGACAGTTTCATATGACTTAATTCCGATTTTTACAATGTTCACATCTTCCTGGAAGCAGGAGATACATTTTTACATCAAATTTCCCCTTGTGTTTTACAAGAATTCTAGTATAAAGTAATCTAACTCTAAAACAGACACTTGTGTTCTCAGCAGGTCCGTTTGTGTGCTTCACCAGGCATTTATTTTTCATTACAAATAACTTCACTCAACCTCAAAGTCAGTATTGAAACACTCACAGCTGTCTGACACTAGACTGCCACTCACGGCTTTCAGAGGATCTCCATAAACATTAAATAAATTAGAAAACACACTTTTCTACTCCCACTTCTTTAAAATCATTTCCAGATATCTAAGGTATCATGTGAAGAGTGTAATTTTTTGATAATGCTTTTGGTTTTTTAATTTTTTTAATTGATTTTAGAGAGAAGAGGAGAAGAGAGGGAGGGAGAGGAAGACCGACGGAGAAACACCAGTTTGCTGTTCCATTCATCTGCGAAGTCATTCGTTGGTTCTCGTATGTGCCTTGACTGGGGATCAAACTCGCAACCTTGACATGCGGGGACAGCACACCAACCAACTGAGCTACCTGGCCAAAGCAGTTTAAGTTTTAAAGTGCCCAAAACTAAGTTAACTCGGCTCCGGGTTTCAAATTCCTCACATGTGACAAGCAGAAGACAATGCCACTCATGTCTGAAGAGTTCGGCGAGAACTGAGTAATGGTGGCTTCTCCTCCAGAGACCATTTGGTCTTTAAGGGGCACCTTCCTCAGATGCTTGAATGAATTAATACTCGAGGACCTCTGGTTCCATGCACAGAGGAGGTACCAAATAAATATGGAATAAACGAAGTGACCCAAAGGATGACCACCCCACAGAGACCGGGGACTCGGCAGATGCCGGAGTCACTGTGGTCCAAGCATGCTCGGCCAGCGAGGACACTGAAGCCCACGGCCCAGCCAGCAGCAGAAGACCCTTCCTGGTGGCATCTGTCGGCTGACTGAGAGTCACAAATCCGAGAGGCAGGAGTCAGGCCAGGCAGGAGTTAATCGGGAAAAGTGTGGGCACAGCTTTCACATGCTTGGTCCCTCTGACGAAAAACATGCGATTTTTAGGTCCCTGTAAGGTAACTCAGCCCCAGAAATCTCCAGCAAGCACTTTCAGACCGCGGGTTTTAGAGGCTTGGCGAGGAACGCCGATCGCCTGGAGCCACGCAGCACCTCCACGGGGCCTCCTGGTCAGCCCGTCCGTCAAGACGCTCGAGAGTCAACATCCTGTCTGCAGCTTCTGCCAGCCCCTGTGTGAATTTATACCTCCAAGAAGAGGCGCTGGCACACGGCGTAAAACAAACCACAGATATTCAGAGCGAATGGCGGCGGGGATGGAAGGGAAGCCGATACCCTTTCCATATAAAAAGCTTTCATTGCTGCTTCCCCCTCGGTAATGACAGAGAAAAAAATATTCAAAAATGTGAAAATGGTTCCTGACAAATGGACTCCAGTCGAGAAAAGAACACAGTTGCCCTCTTTGAGTCATTAGACGGGGATGTGACCAAAAGCCGAGGCAGCCAAAGAAATAAATAGAACAAGTTCGAGACTCCCGTCGGATGTCAGGAACAAATACCGTCTCCCCTGCATCCACGCAGAGTGCTGCGCCTGCACTTCGGCACCATCCAACTCAAACAACCGGGACCCACGAGCAGCAGCGGCAGTGCCCTCTAGGAGGGAGCAGCAACCTCGCTGTGGTTAAAAGCTATCCCCCTGCCCATTCACTGAGGCCAGTTTCAGGAGATGTAGGAGCTGATTCCATACACCGGTCACGTGGACCAGAAACCGAGCTAGTAGCTAATTCTTCCACTTGCAGTTCCTTGCCTGCCCGAAGGCCAAGAATTCTTTGAAGGACAAATCA